TTGAATTTTCCCTCTTTTCCTCGCTTTCCTTCGCTTTTAAATAGCTTAAATGCGCCGTGCGCATTTTACTTTCACTTTCAAATTAGCAGCAATTCGGCAATTCACTTCAAGCAACAACAAAATACAACGTAGAACATATTATGCCTAATATAAAATAACAAATAACTTACACAAAGCTTAGGTAGCTTATACAAAATTGAAGATCAGTAAACACTGTGGAACCAAATAAATAAGAAACGCTACGTTTATTAGCAAAACGAATAAGAAAGATTGGAGACACCGCATACTTGATCAACAGGCTTTTCAATATCCAAAATATTTTTTTAAACGGGCGCTTTTGCAAGTCGTTTTGAAACTCTTCTGCCATCGTCTTGTCTGTCTCACTTCACTCTTCTTTGTCAGCTTCTCCTCACATGATAAATGAAATCTGATCTGTGATGCGACTGTCATTCGGCAGCCACGTTCAGTTTTAATTTTAGTAAACTAAATCATTTTTATTACTATAAAAAATCTAAACGACGGTGGGCAAGTGACATAACCGGTGTTGCGGCTTCACACCCGTAAAACGGTCAACACCTTCTATTAGCAGCAACACGAATTTCGTGTCTTGTCAATCACTGCGTGAAATATAAAATTGAGCGCGCACCATTACAACGGGTGGAGCTGAGCGGGGCGGACGGGGCGTTTCTCTCCTGAGAACAGTCCAATTGGCGGTAAATACATATTTCAACTTTAAATAAGTATGAAATATATCAGTGTTTTTTTCCGTTTTATTTTTCACTATTTTTTTTCATTTGGACATACTCATATGTTGGTGTTTTGATATAGCCTATTTTTAAAATATATGCTGTAAAAGGTTATATGGTACGATAGTATTTTAAGTTATTTAAATGGGGAAAAAAGCTAAGATTCTGCGGCACCCCTAGCCAGTTGTCCCGGCACCCCAATGTGTCGCGGCACCCACTTTGGGAACCACTGCTCTATTCCACGGTTCTCATATCAGGCACTATACATGTCTGTTCAACAGTTCTCCTATCTGACACTCTGTACGCTGGTTCTGGAACCAGGCACTCTGGACTTCATGAACCAGATGCTCTGTTTAGTGGTTTTAGAATCAGATGCATTGTATTCTGGTTCTGGAATAAGACACTCCATTCGACAGTTTTTCAATCATATGCTTTGTACTCTGATTTTTAAGTCAGACGCTCTATTTGTATGGTTCTCCAATCTAATGCTCTGTACGCTGGTTCTTCAATCAAATGCACTGTCCTCTGGTTCTAGAACCAGACGCTCTGGACACTGGTTCTAGAATCAGATGTTCTGAACACTGGCTCTGGAATCAGATGCTCTGTTCAACAGTTCTCCAATCAGATGCTCTTTATACTGATTCTAGAATCAGACACACTGCTCTCTGATGCTCTGGCCTTTAGTTCTGGATGCTCGATTTATCAGTTCTGGAATCAGACGCTCTATACTCTGGTTCTTGAATCATACGCTTTGTACTCTGGTTCTGGAATCAGATGCTCTATACTCTGGTTCTTGAATCATACGCTTTGTACTCTGGTTCTGGAATCAGATGCTCTATACTCTGGTTCTTGAATCATACGCTTTGTACTCTGGTTCTGGAATCAGATGCTCTGTTCACTGGTTCTGGAATTAGACATTCTGTACACTGGTTCTAGAATCAGACACGCTACATTGGTTCTGGAATAAGACACTCTGTTCACTGGTTCTGGAATCAGATGCTCTATACTCTGGTTCTTGAATCATACGCTTTGTACTCTGGTTCTGGAATCAGATGCTCTATACTCTGGTTCTTGAATCATACGCTTTGTACGCTGGTTCTAGAATCAGATGCTCTGTACACTGGTTCTGGAATCAGATGCTCTATACGCTGGTTCTAGAATCAGATGCTCTGTACACTGGTTCTGGAATCAGATGCTCTATACGCTGGTTCTAGAATCAGATGCTCTGTACACTGGTTCTGGAATCAGATGCTCTATACGCTGGTTCTAGAATCAGATGCTCTGTACACTGGTTCTGGAATCAGATGCTCTATACGCTGGTTCTAGAATCAGATGCTCTGTACACTGGTTCTGGAATCAGATGCTCTATATGCTGGTTCTAGAATCAGATGCTCTGTACACTGGTTCTGGAATCAGATGCTCTATATGCTGGTTCTAGAATCAGATGCTCTGTACACTGGTTCTGGAATCAGATGCTCTATATGCTGGTTCTAGAATCAGATGCTCTGTACACTGGTTCTGGAATCAGATGCTCTATATGCTGGTTCTAGAATCAGATGCTCTGTACACTGGTTCTGGAATCAGATGCTCTATATGCTGGTTCTAGAATCAGATGCTCTGTACACTGGTTCTGGAATCAGATGCTCTATATGCTGGTTCTAGAATCAGATGCTCTATACTCTGGTTCTTGAATCATACGCTTTGTACTCTGGTTCTGGAATCAGATGCTCTGTACACTGGTTCTGGAATCAGATGCTCTATATGCTGGTTCTAGAATCAGATGCTCTGTACACTGGTTCTGGCATCAGATGCTCTATACGCTGGTTCTAGAATCAGATGCTTTGTTCTCTGGTTCTGGAATCAGATGCTCTATACGCTGGTTCTAGAATCAGATGCTCTGTACACTGGTTCTGGAATCAGACGCTCTATACGCTAGTTCTTGAATCATACGCTTTGTACTCTGGTTCTGGAATCAGA